ATTTTTATTTGTAAATATTTATATAGGAAAATATTTCCTACAAAAAATGTTCTAGATGCATTCCTTTTTTCTGAGTACTACAATAGCGAAGTTAATTATGGACATATTGCTGCAGTGGACATAGCAATTCATATGACTTTGGAAATAGTGTCTAAGCTTTCATAATAATTGAGTTCAGTCCTTGTTTTGCAATTGGTTGCATAATGGAGAAAATGAAAAAGAAGCTACCACCCTCAGAATGGTGACATCTTAAAAAAACTCCAACCACAAACCCAACAAAATAAACCCCCAAATAAGCAACCAACAAACCTCCCAGTCATACAGTATCGCCTTAGATTTTAGCTGCCTAAAATCTTTGCGCTAAAAAAACTTTCTCAATTACAGGCAGACTGTAATTTTCTTGAAACATTGTTAGAGCAGATTTTCACAGTAACGGCAAAGGCACAGCCTGCTCACCAAGGCCATCTCCTAAGTTTCCTTTACTTCAGAATGTGGTAGCATGAAAACATGCACTAGAGCTATTCAAAATCTAGACAACATATCTTTATCCAAGTTTTGGATGTTGCTGAATTGTTTTGATGGGATCACTGAAGTATTATATTTCAAATGTTTAGATAATCAGCAACTGAACCCTCAGTCTTAAAATGGGAACTTTCACACTTCCCTGATCTCAGATGGTTTTCTTAACCTCATGTACAGTACTCTGCTTATACCTTACGTATTCCAAATACACATTAATTACTGCTTTCTTTTAAGGAACTCCATCCAGCTCTTCATTGTTTATTCAGAGTTTATATAATCTTTGTGTTTTCACCACTGCTGTGAAAGTGGCTGTTCCAACAGAGATATGTTCTGCTAATGGCATGGTAGTACCAGCATGTACTTCTAATAAAAAAGAAAATGGTATTTCACTAGTTAGTTTTCATTTCAGTTACTGTCATTTTATTCAGCCACAATTTTCTTTTTATTAGGTGCACAATGTCATTAATGATGCAGTAGATCTGTTGGAATTCCGTGACAGAGTTATTAAGGCTTCCTTAAACTATGGGCATTTGGTTGTTTCAACTTCTCTTCAGTGTTACGTGTTTTCGTAAGTAAAATAAATTCATGAAGTTTTCTCCAGGTTTATCTAACAGTTGAAAGGAGTAGCAGAAATGTTATTTAAAGTACAGTAGTTGATTTTTTAATTTTTTATTTTTAAGTAATTGAAATACTCCATGGAACCTAACATCGTCTACAACAAACTGTATTGGAGTGTAGCTGCCCTCACCTCACCCTTGCAGCTTCCTGCTGGTGCTATGGGTGCCTGTTCATTTGGCTACAAAAATTTGGCAGCCTTTCTTTTCACGCAGAGGCAGCACGAATGGTGGCTGGATGTGTCTGTGCCTCTGTCTAGGGACTCCTTTTTTTGGGTATTGTTTCTGGCATGACATTATTTTGGAACAGAATAGGAATGATTCAGTCCTGCATCATGTTTTAAGAACACTATACTCCTAAAAGTGCTTACCTTAGTCACTGACCTAAAAGTCAGTGACATGCCTAATGCTAAACAATAACACAGACTACAATAGGGCATGCAAGAGAGGCTCTATCCTACCTCCAGATCACTGTAAGAGAGTTGAACCACAATTCAGAAGTATTTAAAAAACACATTTGTAAGTATGATTTTACTGTTTACTAAAGACTCCTAGGTCAGCCACTGCTAGTGTGAAGGAGTGCAAACATGAAAGCAGAAGTGTTACTGGATCATTCTGCATAGTAATCAGTGTTACTTGGCTTCTCAAATGCTACTTTCCTTTTGAAAACTTCTCTTTTTAGGCATGTTAGATGATTAAAATGTGTATGTTTTACTTAATAAATTCAACTTTGTATTTTCAATAAAATGTGAAGATGAATGGTTTTAATGAATGATGATTTATTTAATTTTTTCAGTGTAAAGAACTGGAATACACCACTGATCTTTGACCTGAAGGAAGGAACAGTTAGTTTGATTCTTCAAGCAGAAAGGTAGCTAAATTCTTGTAATGCTTACTATAAGATGTGCATGTGCATTTCCTAAAACTTTGCTCTATAAACATAAGCACATACTGAAATATTAGAAATAGAGGAAAAGTATACGGTATTTTTAAGTAGTGTGTAAAGGCTTAGCTGGTATATTTGCCATAGGTCTGTGATGTTGGTAATGAATCTTTCAAACGTTATGTATATTTGTATCCTTACTTACAGAAGAAAGTAGATCTTCTGACTTGCTAACATCTGGGAGTGGGGTTATGTTCTATATTACTTTTATTAGCTGGAATATATTTTATATAAATTATCTTTGGTCTCCAGTTTTTATTAAAAGCATGCCAGGTGTGCCAAATATAAATAAAAATTAATTTTTCTTGCATATTTGTATTTATATTTGCAATAAATTACTATTTTTTCTCAGTTTAAGAAAACTTCAGTCTGTAATTCCTGAAAATCATTTGTCAAAGAGATCTTTAGGTTTGCTTTTGTAGAAAGTCTTTCAAAGCACTAAGAATAAGAGCAGAAATAAAAAAAACCCTTGAGTTTTTATTATAGTATTAATTCTCATGGACGAATATTGTTGGACTACTATTTCAGCAAAGTGCAGCACAATGCCCACTGTGTTTTTGAGTCAAGCACTTATGTCTTAGTCTGCAAAAATATTGCAGTGGGGAACAGGTAAATAAGATCAATTTCTAGATTTGGAATTTTGCACTGCCAATTAAAAGTAAATTGTGAAAACATGTGAAAACATGGCGTATATTCTTCAGTGCAGATGATCCACAGAATTGAAGCTATGGTTTTGGTAAAACCAGTCAGCCTCAACAGATACATGTGCAAACAGTGATTCATTAGAAGTGTCTTCTACTTGCTTTACATTATAATCTAGACATACTGAAGAAAATAATACAGGTAATACTATCTCAAAGCTAGCTGTAAATATTAAATTTGTTTCTTACATATACACACACAAAGAGTGTTGTCTCATGGGGTTATGTTTGGGGAGTATTGTCTGCAGCTGTATGCTTTGTCATCAGGAGTTAGAAGATTTAGATTACATAATATCTGTAACAGTTAAGATCATAGTGATTCCAGATAGTAAGTATTTCTCATGGAAAAAGATGATGTTCACATTAAAACTGAAATCTTCCATAAAGAGCTTTCAGTATATCAGCTTTGAAATGTAAGGCTTAGAAATGATGTAGTTTTATCTCAAAATAATCACAGAATATTAGACAATTGCCTTGAAATTGCTGAAACTGTCATCATGCCCTTCTGTATTACTTAATGATTTACTTTTTTGTTGGGGTTTTATTTGTAGGCATTTTCTTCTTGTAGATGGTGGAGGACTTTACTTATATTCATATGAAGGAAGATTTATTTCCTCTCCAAAATATCCAGGAATGAGAACAGACATTTTAAATGCCCAGACAGTATCTCTGAGTAATGATACTCTAGCAGTAAAAGACAAAGCTGATGAAAAGGGTAAGTTCTCTGTTCTAATAGTTTCACATTGGCTAATAATTATTATGAGGTTTTCAGCATCTTCGCATGTAACTTTACTTAGCACAATTATGCTGAAAAAGAAAGCATGAAGCATAAACAATTTATGTTATACATTAAAGATAATAGTTATAAAAATGAATTTAAATGATGGGTCTTGCTTAACAGTGATTAAAAAACTTAGAGAATGATTGACACATGTCTCTGAACTTCCAGTTGTGTGTAATGCATCAAAGAACAGTGGAATATTTGGAGTAAATACTTAAAACAGTAGGTTTTCACTCTCTGTGATTTTCTGAAGATGCACTTCAGCAACTTTTTCTGCTTGACTCCTGCTCTTAGAAGCTTCCAATACATTAACTGTGATTAATTTAGGTTTCAGATGTTCTTTAGTTTTTTTGGGGGCTGTATTTTTACAGCATGTAAGTTCTATATGCAGCTGATATGCATAGTAGTTAGTAGTCTGCAATGTTCTGTTTCAGTGTTGTGTTCCTGAATATTTTTATGTTCTTAAATTTTGTGTTTTGGCATCTATAATGCTAAAACACAACATGGTCAAATGAGCTTCAGGTAAATTTTGGCATTAATGAGTGGCACAGGAATATCTTTTTGTCAGTCAGCTTTTTTCCTTCTCTCTATGCATTGAGGCAAATGCATAGGTTTGCCAGTGCAACAGTTTAAAGTGTCTGGGGGACACAGACTCTTCCATTGCTGGAAAACCCATGGCACTATGACTTTTGACTCCCAAACTGTGCCGTTTATAGGCTGTACACATATGACAGTGCAGGGCTGCAGTATTTCGCCTGCGATATGGCCATTAAGGGATTACCGGTGGGAACAACTGTGTGCGGGAGGTGCTGTTATTGCAGAGTGTAACAGTGAAAACTTCCTGCCTGTGGTTCCTACTGGCACTAACTCTCTCTATAACTGCTATCCTAGACTTAATGATTAGATTTTAAACATTTAGAATTTTATAATACAGTGTTTTGCAGCAAAGAACCATGATATTTATCTTCTTTTTGCTATAGAAAGAAACATTTCAGTGTGAAGTACAAAGTAAGAACCCTGGCAGGGTCCCTTAGCACTGATTTGCATAGTTGTTTTCTCAGCATTTAACCTGCAAGGTAAACTATTTGGTGAATGAAGAAAACCTTTCTAACAATCCATTAAAATATCCCTTCCCAAGCAACAGAAAAATGAGGTGGGATTTTTCTCACTTTCTTGTTATGAAGCTTTTTTGCTATTCCATGCAACTTTAATTTTTTTTTCTTGTACCTCCTTGTCTTTTGTGTGAGAATACTTTCTTTTATTCTTAATTATTTTTAAAGGCAGTGTTTATTTTTAAAATCACTGTTTAGAAGTAGTAATATAATTGTAATGTGTATTTTATTTTTAAGGAAAATTACTTCAGAAAAATATTATCCTCAAGCACCAAGATATAAAAGCTGTGTAATAACTAGAATGGATTTCAATCAGCAAAAACATATTTCACTGTAAATTACTGAGGAAACAAACACAATAGTTTACCAAAAAAAGGTTAAGTGATAAACTGTATTTTATTTCTGATCTTTTTATACTCTGTGTGTGTCTGTGTTACAGAAGTATATATATGTGTATTACTTAATACACATAATACAGAGACTTTGTTTTATTGTCATACAGATACCTTGAGGCAGTCAGAATAAAAACAATAGAAGTATTTTAAATAAATTAAGGTTATATAAAAAAATAATCCGTAAGTATTAACTGCTGTCTATATGCATGCATATTTAAGATTGTGATGGTAAACTCACTTGCTTGCCCCTTTCTCCTGCCCATTTTCCTGAACAGAATGAAGGGCATCTCTATCTCCCAACCATTCCTACAAGCATCCTGAAAATCATGTCAGCCAGTTTTGTACACAGGCTAATCTTCACCAAACCTATGATTTAAGGAGGCTGGGTTTCTGGCTATGTTTTCCACATGAGCTCTCCAGATGGTCCTGTTGACAGCAGCTTCCATCAAGGCAATGAGTAGGGGTGGGGTTTGGGGTTTTTAGATGCAAGCCCCACTAGTAGTGGTAAAATACCTTATAATATGCCAGCACATGGGCAAAAAGATTCTTGGCAAAGGAAACCCTGGCTTGTCTATGGGTGTTTATTCTTCTTAACTCATCCCAGCAGAAGTGTTTTTTTCCTTTGCCCTATTTTGAGGGCATAATGTACTGCATTATAGAAGTATCTATAATAGCTCAGGTTGATACAGGAAACAGTTTACACGTTGTGGCGTGCAACTTTCTACAAGCTAATTTACTCTCGAAACAGAAAGATGTATGACTTGCTGTGCTTCAGTGTTGTTACTTGGATATTTTTCCTCTTTTATTAAAAAAAAAAAGATTGGTACCTCTGCGCTTACAGCCCTTCAGTCTCTAATGAAGCTGGAAGAGGGAGGTGAGACAGTTCTCAAAAGGGATCTGGTGACCCTACGAGCGGTTATTCCATGATGATAGAATGTGTGTTTAAAGACACGCAGTAGCTGATCTCTTTCTCTGGATGTTCAAAGTGAGAGAATGCCCTTTGTTTATATTTTTAATTTATGCATTTGTAAAAGAGATATATTTTAGGTTCTAAATGATTGTAAAATGATGTGGAGTTTTTCTAGCTTTTTTTTGGGGGGGGAACCAAAACAAAACCAAAACAAAACCCGAGACCAAACTTATTTTCTGAAATACCTTAATAAGCATTGTAGATTAATGAAAAATTATACTTGTCAATTAAGTAGAGTGGTTTTCTTTAAAAACTCTTTTAATCTCACTTCCTACAGCTAGTATAGTAGCAGTAAAATTGGCTTGTATACCTAGAGCAAAATAAATTTCATGCAGGAGCCATGCATAAAAGTGAGAAAAATAACACTTCTCAGGAACAACTAGTTTTCTGTCATATATTTAGCCTGCTGCCAAGACCAGCACATGTGCAAAACCCTTTCTTTTTCTCCTCTGCAAACTCAGCCAATGCTTTCTGAACACCTGCTCTTACAAGTTTGTTGGGTTTTGTTGGTTTGTTGTTTGTTTTTTTAATTCTGCGTACATAACCACTGACCTCAAACCAACATCCTGCATCCTAGTGAAAGACATGCACAGCAGCATTAACATGTTAACATCGCCATCCTTTGGAATGATGGTGTATATTCATCCTATATTGTATACTTACAGGTAATGTGTTGAAACCACAGGTGAGATGTGTTATTGAAAAGCTGAAATGTTTCTGTCACATCAGTGTTTTCCAGAAACTAACATGGAATCATGTACTTTAAGTTACAGCTGATGTTCCTTATAATGATACTGTTTTCTCTAGATTTGAATACTCTACCTACATCTGTCTGTATTTGTGTGTATATTATTCACAGACTATATATAAAGTATGTATGGATGTGTGTGCATCACACATGCGTGTGTATGTATACATATAGACAGAAACAAAGAGAAACTATTTTTAGACAAGTTGCAAATTTGGGTCTTCACTGGATATCCCAGAAATACAGATGATGTTGGTTTTGGGGGTGTTGAGAATATTTTTTTTCTGAGGGTGGTACAGGGAGAGAGTGAAACAGATGCAAAATCAAAATAATAAAATTCAAGTATATCTTGGCGAAGTAGTTACTTTTTGAGGAAGCCAGTTATAAATGTATTAATGACAAGCAGAAACTCTAAACTACCCTGAAGAAAATATGCCTACGGACCACTGTATTAAAAATAGAACAGATTATTAACAAAATACAGAATACTTCTGAAGAAAGTTTTACTCAGTAGTTCAAAGGACAGCTTTCTATATATTTGATTCTAATTCCTTTAAGAAAATATATCAGTCAATGGTATTGCTTCCTAAACTTAAATGCTCAGCAAATTTGTGGGTTAAGATTGAGTAAATCTATCAGATAGCCTTGGTAACCTTGATTTATTCAGAATGCAGAGTAAAGACTTGCATCAGATAGAACTTAGTGTCATTTCTGTAAATAACCATTTGAGCTGTGATTGGAAGTAAAACTTTAGTTTTCTCAATTCTTTCAGTCCATGATATCGTATTTCAATGGCTATCAGTGCTCTGAAAATAATGATTTTTGAGGGTTTTCTCAGATCACTCTGATTGCAAAATGAGACTTTTCCTAAGCTCAGCAGACTATGATGGTTACATTTTCCCCAAATTAAGATTCTTTTTTCACCAGAGTATGAAAGTCACTGGGAGATCTAGCACACACTTGCAGTAAATGATGCTCTGTAAAGGAACAGAACTGCTTGAAAAAAATCTATTAACTGTTGTTTTTAACTAATAAACCATATAATTTTTTTTCTTCAGTTATTTACATATTTGAAGCTTTATCTGGAAAGCCACTGGGTGATGGAAAGCCTCTAACTCATAAGGTAAGATGAAGGATATAATGTGTCTTCTTAATTATACTTTGAAATTAAGAATCAGTAGTGGATTTCCCCAATAATGGGTCTAATGAGCTATTAAAGGTTTACAGTCTGAATAGAAAGGAGCATGTCAGCTCTAGCTGACTCTTATATAGTAACAAAAATCAGATATCTACGCAGTGTTGATGTACAAAGGGACATACGTGCGTGTGTTTCCCATGCACATACGAGTTTGAAACTACAGGTGAATTGTTTTGTTATGCACTAAAACTGATCAATTGACTTTCCTTTGCATGTGCTCCAAAGCAACTTTTATTAGTGCCAACCTGTTGTCAACACTGAAAAAAAGAAAAAGAACATCAGGGATGTCTGTCTTCAGTCTGAGCTTTTACTGGTTTTACTTAAAAAAAGTAATTGCCTTAACTGCATTTTACTTTTCTTCACTCCTGCTGTACAACAAAAGCAAAATTAGTCAGCATTTTTTGGAGAGAGGAAGCATCTTTCAGGCAGCTTTTGCTTTGAGAATGCCACGTGTATTTCTGTAGTTTTGTAGTAAATTCCTAAACTGCTAACTCTGTTGCAGTTTTGGTTTAATCTGCATGAAATTCGATTTATAGAATGCTTCATTCAATATAGAAGACACATAGAGTGTCTTCATGGTCCAGTTTTTCAAGAGTTTTGTGCCTTGGTTTTTAGTAAAGCATTCATTTGTTTGAATATCACATGCTTGATACGAGGTATTTTCTTTTTCTTTTCAGACAGAAATTGTGGAGATAGCTTTAGACCAGAAAGGACTTACAAGTGAAAGAAAAATAGCTTTTATTGATAAGAACAGAGATCTTTACATTACTTCAGTTAAACGGTTTGGAAAAGAACAGAAGATTGTCAAAATAGGTAAGAAAAGTTCAAAGTAACTACATGCTGTCAGGAAAATAGACTTTTATCTAGTACAGGAGACAAAATTTTGATCTTAATAGTGAAACTGGACTTGAAGAAACATTAGAAATAGTCCTGTGGCTTTCATAAGATATTGATAGAAACCACTTTAGTACATTTCATCTAAATTCTGATAATTTTTGTATCAGTTAATGTAAAGTATTGCTTATTACATTCCATAGCAAGCAGCTAAGAGGATATGGGAAAAGGATGTATTCCTCAGAATTATTCAATACAGAATCTTTCAGTCATTTTTCTTGCAAATGCAAAACCCTTTAAGTTCATAATATTTTTAATCAAAAGTTGAAATGCTGTAGACAAATGTGTGATCCGCTAAGTGCAAAGGTGCAGTCCGACCATTGAGTTAATTTTTATTTCCAGTCCTAAAATTAAGTGCAAAAAACATTATTATGAAAAGAATTTTCAGAAAGAGAGAAGTGAATTTGGCTGAAGGTTTGTAAGAGGTTCCCTTACAAACCAGGTGGTGAGAAACAGTCCTTATAAAAGGAACTAAGAACAACCAATAGTTATCCTTTTACTACAGTGGGAGAAGTGTACCTTTGTTTCGAATTTTCTTGTGGAAATGCATATTATTCTGTTATCTTTGAATTAAGGGACGATGGTTCAAACTTTGGCTTGGAATGACACGTCTAATATTCTTTGTGGGATTCAAGATACCCGTTTTACAGTCTGGTACTACCCCAACACAGTCTATGTAGATAAAGATCTTTTGCCAAAAACTCTGTATGAAAATGAGGCAAGGTAATATATCCTTTTTGATCAAAACTGTAGTAGTATGTATTTTAACTTGTTTACTCATTCTTTAAAAAATTTTGTTAATTTTGGCAGTTAAAGTAGAAACCAGGGTTGCAACTTTTAAAATTCTTTTTATATTACTACTTCTTGATTAGGAAATGAGGAAAAACTGTTTTAAAAGGTATATAATAAAGTTTGGAGTTGAAATGATGATGGGCAGTTTAAGAGTAGAATAGCATCTTGATGCAAAAGCAAAATTAGTCATGTCTCGTGAAATATTACTTTAGTAGTTTGCAAAAAAAAATTTGTTTAAAATATCTGTTGGAACTTAAAAGTATGGAGGTACTGGGTCACAGATAATATTATTTCCAGCTCAGCATGTTTACTTTACATGTTTACTTTAGCCTATATGCATTGTGAAATTCTTTATGAAGAATACCTGAATTAATTATCTTCTCCTAAGAGTTATGAGAGCCCAAATATTTTTTTACTGAAAAATGTATTTGAAAATTTTTGCACATGTACCCAGTTTGCATTTGCCTTACAGCCATTGAATGTGGTTAACTCTAATTTTATTTTTAGTAAACATTACAACTACCTGTTGGATTTAACTGGTTGAATAACTGGGTGGTTACATTCTTATATACTCTGAAAATGAAGTATAATCATGTTGTAATTTTGAAACAAAGATTTCTTTAAATTCTTAATGTTATTTTCAAAACAAAGAAGTGAATGTTTATTTACCTTTCTTTCTCTACGCAGTGAATTTAGCAAAAATCCCCAGATTGTGCATTTTATAGGAAATCTAATAACAATTAGAAGAGCAGATGGTTCACTTATTCACCTTAATATTTCACCTTATCCTGCGATTCTTCATGAATATGTTAGTAGTTCTAAATGGGAAGATGCTGTTAGACTGTGTCGCTTTGCAAAGGTAATCCTAATTATTTGGAATGTTCAGATATAATTTCACTGTAATATTTTTGTTTTCAAGTATTACTTCAATAATGATAATTGCATAGCAGATGTCAAATCTCATTTCCATTCTTGTGCTCTGTTGCTGATTATTTGGGAGCTGGTGATGAAAAATCATATATTTTTCATATATTTGTAATATAACATAATCTTGCAATTTTCACTATACATAATAAAAATTCTTATTTTTATGCACAGCAGAGTCCAGATTGATTGAATACAGGTACACAGAGAAGTTAGTAATAAGCTTAAGTTTTCAGGACTAGGCTTTAATATAACTGATTAAAAATTATCTGCATCTCCACAGTTGCCTTGTATTTTTTCTTATTTTTATTTCACTTGGTTTTGTTTTGTTTTCCTTTGCTTGCTTTTGTATGTATTTAGGCAACAGCAACAGATGAGGTGAGTCTGGCAGTCTTTTAAACAGACAAACAAAAAATCCCCTCACAGCCCTGCTTCCTTTCCCCCCTTTACTTCTAGAAAAGAGTTTAACACTTCTATGTGATTATCATGACCTTAAATGTGTATTTCATATATTTTTGTATTTGCATTATTAAATCAATGCAGATACCAATAGCTTGGGTTGTATAATGATTTTTATTTTGAGAGCTACTCAAAATAGGGTTTTATTCCAGTATTGGGCAGTGGGTACTGGGATTTCAAATTTCAGCTACAGCATTATGTTAACTTTTTTGAGTTATCTAAATGCATCATCTTTAAAAATAAAATGTCTGTATCAGGTGGCAATATACAGTTCAAGTATTTCCAATAAGTAACAAGAAAACAGACCATGTTTCTGAGGAAAGAGGGAATAGCAAGACTTGTTAGTGAAAAACTTCTAGAAACTTGGTAAGGCTGAACTTTCAGCACTTTACTACCTAATTTTGTAAATAGTAGGGAAGTGGGAAGAGAAACATGATGAAGATTTTATGAGCATTTGATTCTCTGAACAACGTTAATTGTGCCAAATTACAGGCTACGAGCAGGAAGGTTTATTTTATCCTGAATCATGGTAAAGAGTAGAAACACATGGCCAGAGTAGGAGCACACGCAGAGGTGGTGATAGTGAAACCACAGCCTTAGGCTAAATTACTGTATGTCATTGGCTTCAGTGGGTCTTAAACATTTTGTTTCATACAAAAGTGATTGTGAGATAGGGCATAGGAGTATGTTTTTAGAGCATACTCTATGTAGCTGTTCATTCTGATTTAAATCAATAGTAATCCTATGCTGCCTCTAAAAGCCGATTCACATTGCAAAAAGTATTTATTTTCAAATTTGTTATTGTACATATTTAACAAAAATATTAACCACTTCCTCGAGGGCATGTGGAGTAACAAGTGCAATCAAAGTTATAGTTTTCCTGTCTGAACTAGAGTTTTCAGATGTGGTAGCTTAAACCTTATTAACTAATATGTTTTAGTAGTATATCTTTCTCAGAATGTTGTCAGACTTGAAAAGGGAAGGTATCAAAATGTCAGGATCTTCCCAAATGTTTTTCTGGGTTAGTGGGGTTTACTTGAGGTACACAGGGCAGGGGAAGGCAAAATTCATTAAAATAGATATCAAGGTTGTAATATTATCATTATTACTGATTTTTCCTAATTCTTAATTCTAAACATAAAATGTACTGAAAATAGCAAAGGAGTCAGAACTTCTGAAGCTCTTACAACCTCATCAGGTTAATTGCTCTACAGTTAAGTAATTATTTTCTTTTCTCTTTCATTTATAGCATGTTTATTATAAGTTATTATCAGCATCCATGGTTAGCCAGGTTAAAATAATTTTTCTAACTACAACCAGTGCTTTGAACCAGCATAGTTCCACAAGTAGTGACAGGGAAACCAATGATGAGGTGATAAAGTGATAACTATGCAAGAGTTCGTTACTGGCTGAGATGCTAAAAGCTAAGGATTCATTCAGCCACCGTCAGTCTCAGCTGCTCACAACATCAATGCTTTTATGATGAAGGAGTTCTGACAAATAATTAAGTAGTGACTTTCTAAGAAGAGGCTTAGACCACGATGCTAAAAATGTCACACAAAGAAATGTTGTATTGTTACAAGTTATTGTCAGGACTCATATACTTCCTGTGAGAAGTCAATAATAAATATTTTAAGTTTTAGGAGTTGCATTTCTTTTAAAATTCCAGGATCAAACTCTGTGGACATGTTTAGCTGCTATGGCAGTTGCCAACAAAGAGATGGCTACAGCAGAAATCGCCTATGCATCAATTGGTAAGGTAAGAAAAGAGACTTATTTATTTCCAGTTAAATTGTTGAAAACCTGGTTTTAATAATTATTTTCCCTTATTAAAGTATTGTACCTCTCATTAACAGATTGACAAAGTTCAGTATATCAATTCCATCAAAGATCTTCCATCAAAAGAGTCAAGGATGGCTCATATGCTGCTCTTCAGTGGAAACACCCAAGAAGCTGAAACCCTGCTTCTTCAGACAGGCCTTATTTATCAAGCTATTCAAGTCAACATTAATCTTTACAATTGGGATAGGTAGTATTTCTTCAAACACAGTATGTTTATAAGCAGTCTTACTGAGGTAACTGTAAATTATTCAAGACACTTGCTTTATTGCAGGTACTTAGCTGACTAATTTCTTATCTGTGATTGCCCAGAGCTGTAAAAAGATAAATTAAATCAAATGCTGATAATAACCAATGAAGTAACTTTTCATCATATTTAGAAGATACAAGTATTCTGTGATTGAAGTCCAAAATATGTTTGGAAGCATTTTTAAATAACATTTTGCTTTTTCATTATTGTTAACACAGAAAAGTCTTTAGTGATACCTCAAACTGTATGTGACCCTCAAAGAATTAAGGCTATTTTGAAAAGTCTTGTTGCTAAAAATAGATATGTGGCTATTCAGACTCCCAGCACTGTGTAGGTGGATGAAATGTGTATTAGGCCTGAGAAAACAAAGTAGGAATTTCTCCTTTAAACAAAACCCCACGTTTTCTAACAGAATCTTCTGAGGCCATTTACTACTAATTTCTCTGCTATTATATTCTTATCTTTGTGGGCAAAAAGTTTTTCTTTTCTCCTACATAACTGGTTTTTTTATTATGTTGCCTAATATGTGTCATGTAAAAACTGTGTATATCATAGAATCTTAGAATGAATCACAGAATGGTTAGAGTTGGAAAGGACCTTAAGTTCATCTAGTTCCAACCCCCCTGCCCTAGACAGGGGTGCCTCACACTAAGTATTCCTTACGCCGTTGAGAACAAAACATGGCGGGGGGAGTGATCAGTTATACTAATCCAATAACTAGTCTTTACTGCTTATAGAATATTCATAAATGCTGTGTAGCATACACCATAGATGTGTACTGTGACACTTCAGAAGCGATTCCTGACTGTAATGAAGTTATTAAAAATTACAACTTTTGCCCCTTTATATTGAGAGTGCTGAACTCTAACCATTCTGGTTTATTTTCTTGAACTAAAGAGACTCCTATTGTCAAACTCTTAATGATATGATGAGGTTGTCAACAGAAATAGTTGCTAGCCATTTTTCATAGTATGCATCTTAAAGTAGACGGTCTCCTTCACTGGCTACTTTTAATCTCCTGTGACTGATAGTTAGGTAAAACTGCTTGACACTATAGATTAGGAATCTTTGCCTGCAGCCCAAACACTTTTCAGCATATTGTTTTGCAAAACCATGGTGATTATAGTTGTGCCAGAGCATTTATATAGCCTGACAAGCCCATTTCTCTTTTATTCCAGGGCCCTAGAACTAGCAGTAAAGCACAAGACACATGTCGACACAGTGCTGGCTTATCGACAAAAGTTCCTAGAGGACTTTGGTAGAAAAGAAACAAACAAAAGATTTTTGCAATATGCGGAAGGTGTAAGTATTCCTCAGAATTATTCTTGCAGCTTTAGGTCAGCCTGTTCTTTGTAGCTAGTTTGGGACAGTAGGGGAAATTGCTCAGACTTTTTTTTTTTATCTTGGTTCAAATGTGGGCACAAATCTTAAGATTTTACATCTGACTACAAGTCCATCGCTTGATATGAGGCTATTTGGCTAGTATTAGTTGTGCATGTATTTTACTTGAAGGCACAAATATGGAATGTATATAGTTAGTATCAGGCAAGAATTATACAAACGAAGGCACAGTTGTTTCCTGTGAACAGGGAAGTAGACAGGGAGGTTGAATGTGTACCTCTAAAACGTCTTCAAAATTTTAACGTAATTTTATGTATAGCAGCAAAAACAAACTTTGAAGGTATCCATATATATATTAAGAGTGAGCTATGAATTGTTCTGCCAAGTATGAAAAGTAGCTAACTATACAGTTTCATCCAATCTCTGGAAACCATCTCCATCATCAGTAGGTCATTTTCATTTATTAGCATTTCACAGATCTTAAAGACTGAGGACAGATCTTAATAGTTCATAAGACAGAAGTAGCTTAGATTCCACTAGAGTACTTCTGCACATTTCCTTTATGAGAGTCATCTGCATGTGTACCTTAGACAGTAATTCCATTGGGCAGGCCTTACATCCTTCCTGCTCTTCCCCTTGCTCTGTTGCTAAGTGTTCTTAGGGTGAAGCTAATGAAGAGAGATGTGTACTTTGACAGTGTCAGATCTTTTCATCCAGCTGATGAATGAGGAAATACATCCGAGCTGTTAGCTGAGATTGTTGAATTGGACAATGCCTATTACACTTTCAATAAAGCTTAATTTTTAATGTAAATCATTTCCTAAACAAGAATAAAAGTCTGCACAATATCTAGCTCTGCAGTGAACCATTCTTCTAGAAAATACAGGAAAATAACAGTACAAATTGCAAGAACTCTTACCATGCAGGAGTTTTGACTGCTATGCCAGAAGTATGTCTTCTACGTACTTCAAATCCAGTATTGACCAAAAATCATGTTAATCCACTGACGCTTCTGAAAGAGACTTTTTAGATCATACTGCCTTATCTTGAAATCATCAAGAAAGCCGTAGTTTCTGGAAGGTTTCCTAAGCAATAACACCTTGTCAGTGACAAAGCGTGAGCAGTGGAGCTTGTTTCATCTCACACTCAGTCTTGAAACTTGGTATCAAACTGCAGAAGGTTCCTGGATCCAAGTTCTTGGAGGTCTTGTTGTCTGGATCTGAAACCAGGTGGTGACCTGCTTAATGAAGTGGATTTTAAAGCTCTTGGTGGTAACTAAATTCTTAATGCAGCCTGTCAGACTCATATACCAAAAGTAGAAGGAAATGTTAAGGACATTGAAGAGAAAAGCAAGACTTGGTGCTGCATTTCCTTCTCAGGGAAAAAAGGTCTCAATTTTCCTTGCACCACCTAAAGCTCCTTGAGGCTTAAGTAAGGGGTTTTTACCTCATTTCTGTACTGCAGCTGAAAGCACTGACCTGCAGTCAGATACAGAATCTAAACAATGTGCTTCATTGTTATATCTCACATCTTTGTATATGAAGTTTTATGAGTAATTTGTATACTGAGAATCCATATCTTGGCAGTTGCTAGACATCACTGGTAGGGGTTGTTGGCTTCACTGGCAAGTAGCTCTCGGGGCTAGATGGCAGAATTAGCCTTATATGTGGTATGTTCAGCATCTGTGACATCTGTTAAAGCAAACGCATACATTTTTAGCGTGCCATAAAGATTTCAGTCACCAGATCCAAAGCACCTGGACCCAGTAAATGCATCCTGAATTGACCTTTTCACGTGAGAATGTGGGGATTGCACTTACATCTTTCCTCATAGAGAATCTTCCCTGTTATTTCATGACTTAGTTAACAGTGTAACAACTACTCTGAAAATTCCCTGTGCAGCAGTGAGATTCTTTTCTCGTCCTATCTTTGACAGTCTTAAGTCTCCAGCAATGAAACTGAACTTTGCAATTACATTTTTGCCTAGTTTTTGGACATGTTTTCATAGTCATCAAATGCACTATGATCCATTCTTGTCAAGCATTTTTGGAAAGAAAGATAACTGTTGTACCCCACCGTACCAGAGATACTGTACTGTATCTATTGTCTGAAGTTTCACTGAAATATAATACAGTCAGAAGATGGCAATTTGCTGCAGCTGGAGAAATGCCAAGGTACAGCAAAAGCATTTATTGATGTAGAAGACAAATTTAAAGCAGAAATCTGATTTCTGTTATATCAGATAACTAGTGTAATATGCTATCAGTTTACTTGGTGGACTTCACGTGCAGTCAAAAGACACCGCTGCATGTATTATTGATAAAAGGCTATATCCTCAGTAATAGGACACAGATGTCATTATATTTAAATTAGCTGCAAGTTGATCCAAGTTATTTTTGCATTTTAATGGAGGGGCTTTTTTCCAGACACAATGAGATGTATTAGTATTTGTTCAAGTATGTCAAGCTTGTTTTATTTTAAAGGTGTTAAATTCAGTTTGTTAGAACTTAGCTGTGCCTTCATACATTAACATCCATTAGTATAAGTTGTCACTTACATGTGAAGAACTATATGATTCATACAGTTACTTTGTCATTGTAGCTTAAAATTGTCCAGTCAATATATGTTTGACCTCTCTATGTATGTTAATTGACCTCTGCATACTTGCTTTTCTGTTCTTACAGCTGGAAGTTGATTGGAATAAAATCAAAGCCAAAATAGAGATGGAAATTGCTAAAGAAAGAGAACGAGCAGCAGCCAGTCCCGCGGTGAGAGCTAGTGTAACTGTACAGCAATAACTGTCCTTTTGGTCACCTTCATAAGTGCTTCTTGAATATTTTGTACTGGCATATTTTCATAAACATTAAAAAGCCACAACAAACATTTTGTGGGGAACAGGAGTGAGAATCAGTGCAGGTCTTGTTAATTGTTGGAAGGCAGGCAGAATTATTTACTTACTACAGTCTCATTTTGAGCTGGTTTTATGTTCTGATGCCCTAGCCCTAGTGAGTAGCTACACTGTAGTCCACAATACGTGTATGAGAAAAAAGGGAAATTGACTGTCTTTCTGTTAGTGACTTTTGAATTTAATTGTCATTATAATTATTTAACCTTGGTTGCCTCTAATTCAAATACCTATTTTCCCTTCTAAGCACATAGTTTGGTAGTTTGGTTATTTCTGCAACCTCAGGGACCTCTGAAAAGACTTGTTTAAATTGCCCCAAAATAAAATCAGCAAGCTGTAAGTGTTGAAAATTAAAAGAGCTTGCACCTATAAAGTACAAAAAAATATTTCACTCACAGTTGGGGTAATACATATTTCTGCTAGTATGTACAAGCAAGTTCTTTAATAGAGGATTTTTGATTACTTCAGCAACTAAAGCTTGTCACTAGTAAACTACCAATAAATGGTATTTTCTGAGATAAATTGTTTAAAATACTATGGAATGTGCTTTGAATGTTGTCTGAAGTAACAAACAGCATTGTTGATTTGTTGATTGGTTTTGTAATGTCCAACACATATAATCGGCAGTGTTATTGGGAGCTTCCTCAAGGTTCACGTGTTATACGGATTTCAAATAAGGAAGAGCTTTCCATGTACTTTTTCTACCCAAAGCGCTTGGTTTGAAAAAACAGGTTTTACATTTGTGTTATTTCAACAAGATATATTTTTGATTTACATATGAAGGTGGCTGCATATCTTACATGTTCTTTGCAGAAGCCCTTTGCCTAACTATTCTATGATTTTATGATTGCAAATATGTGAGCAGGTTTTTCATAACTGACATTGTATCTTTTCAAATGTTGCCATCAAAATGTTAAATATCTGTATATCTGTCAATATTTTTCTGGTTTCTGAATTGTTATATGACACTTTTTCATAGTTCATAAAATTCTTAATAAAAACAAAGTTTTTTTAAAAAATGTATCTAATACATGATGCATTAGGTGTTCTCCATCGATTTATCTGACTGCTAAATAAAACAATATTTTTGATGTAGCTCATCTGAAGCTCCTCAGTATTCTGGTGTACTGACACATGGCAAAGCGAACACCTTCACCTGCCATTGACTTGCAGAAAGCATTTACTAGTTCCAGAATTGAGCTCAAAATATCACTAATGGTAAGTGTTTAATGTTAAATTTATGAAGCCTGGCTCAGCTGCAACATAATGCAACATAAGCAATTTTTGAAGACCAGTCTTGTGGTGGTATTAAGTTCAGGGTTTCAGCTCAATCTTGTTCTTTTACTCTTGGACCAGTTGGAAGTACAGCAGAGGCAGAATATTCACTCAGCTTCTTAAAAATGCCTGGTGCAACAACTAACCATTGCATAGACTGAGATAAAACAGAGGAATGGAGGCCACACTAGCCACACTGACTGCTCTTCAGGTTAACGTCAGTGCCATTCACAGAAAGTGATACAGTAGGCTCTCCGTATCTCAGTGATAATGAGAAGTGCTGTATTTTTAGGTTGTGGGAAAGGTTGTTTAGTTCCTAGGTGTCGTGGTTTAAGCCCAGCCGGCAACTTGGAACCATGCAGCCGCTCACTCACTCACCCCACTCTTCCTTCCTCCCCCGCTCCCGGAGGGATGGGGAGGAGAATCAGAGGAATGTAACTCCCACGAGTTGAGATAACAGCACTCCAGTAACTAAGGTATAATACAAACCACTACAGCTCCCAATAATAATGATAAGAGAAATAACAAGGGGAGAGGACACAACCGCTCACCCCCCGCCGACCGATACCCAGCCCGACCCGAGCAGCGATCTGGGCCTTCCGGGTAACTCCCCCCAGTTTCTATACTGGGCATGACGTGCTGTGGTATGGAATACCCCTTGGGCCAGTTTGGGTCAGGTGTCCTGCCTCTGCTTCCTCCCGGCTTCCCCTCCTCCCTGGCAGAGCATGAGACTGAGAGAAGTCCTTGGTCAGAGTACACACTACTGAGCAACAACTAAAAACATCGGTGTTATCAGCGTTGTTCCCAGACTGAAAGTCAAAACCACAGCACGGCACCAGCTACTAAGAAGGAGAAAAAAATGACTGCTGTAGCTGAACCCAGGACACTAGGCCAAAACATAACAAAGACCTTACAGTATTTATCACTGATCAGATCTAACTTTTTACATGCACATCCAGTCCTGAACTACATGCTGTGCTGAGCATCTTTGTGTTAAATAGAAAACAAAGCAAAACAAGCACTGGTTATTCTTTCTTTCACTAGATTCTAATATGCAGGTGACTTGGCACAATTCCAGACTTGGGCCTGAAGTCTAAATTTTAGAATATTCTTAGAAGATAATGTTCTTATGTGGCTTACTTGCAATTGTTGCAGCATTTTTACGTACCACACTTGCCATTCCAAGAAAAGTGCCATCTGTCCAGTCCAAGCTAATTTTGTGCTGGTTTGTCTGAGGAGTTTAAAGTTCTGCATTGCATTTGTCTGTACCTGTTTTCAGGCATTTTCAATAGTTTGTTCAATGTCATCTTTTAAGTAAGAATACCTGAAGGATACATTTACAACAAGCTGCAAAAAGCCTGTATATCTGCTTCAGTGGGCCATTTTTGATGTATTCAGTTAAGATCGGCATATTAGCAAGCACAAACTAAGACAAAGCTAGTTTTACCCTACTTATTATGTTTCTATCATGTTAACCTCTTTTCCAAACCCTGATTTAAAACCTTCCAGAGCTGTAAGTGGAATGGCTGCTCAATTGCTGCTTGCATTATTGTCCAGTGCAAGAATACTGATTCTTCAATGATTTAAGAATAACTATTTTAAAAGTAGTGCCCTATTTAATTATTGACTGTTTAATTCAAAACATCATAAACCAATTTAAGAAGGGATTAATATGATTGAAATATAATTGGTTTAGGTGCTGTTGTGATGGATCATTTTCTCAAATATATTCAGATTTACCATAACAGGATGGGTGTTGGAGTTCATGTGCTTTGTTTGACCTTGACCACAGCAGACCCTGTCTGGTTTTAAGAAGGGAGATTTACATGGGAATGTGAAAAGTGTATCTTTAAGTGAGTTGAGTGTTTAAAAGCCATAAATGAATTAGGAAAGTCATATACTGAAAAAAAAGTCTTGTGCATTAGGTAGCATTTCTGTCTTAAACTTTGCAAACATTGCGCTTAGCTCTTCCTTGCACATGGGCTTGGAAATGATGTAAAAATACACAGATTTCTCCACCACCCCTCAATTCTAGACACGTAATGGGGGACAAACCTAAATAATTCGTTAAGGTAAGGCAGTACCCTTCCCCGCATTGGAGGACACGCATTTTTACATCCCAGTCTTCATGTATTGTCCCTCATCTGCTGGGCTGTGGACAGAGGTTGTGTCTGTTCCCTGTGGACAGTTTTATATTTATGAAGTCCAGCAGCCACCACACATTTCTGAGAGAAGTTACTGATGGGTGCTAGTGGTGACTGCAGTGAAGAACAGTGGTAGAACTGTTTTAGAAACACCCTCTTGGATTTGTGGGGAAAAATAAAAAAAAATGAAATTAACGCTTTAATCTTGCTTTACACCATGGTTTAACCGTGGTTTGCAACTATTCCAGGTAATGAAGTTGGCTAAAGAAACAGTCTTCATTTTTACCTCTAGCTTAATTTTTTTATGGTTTGCATATTTTTGATAGTTCAGAGTAAAAAGGAAAAATATTTTTTGTGTTTTGGTATTGAAGGCAATAAGACTTTGAGGTCTTTATTTGTCTGTGGGATTTTATCCTTTGGAACATGATGACGTTTTGAATTACCTGACATGAAAACTTAATTTTGCAGCATATGTAGAACCATTTTCTACTGCAGGAAAATAATTTTTCATCTCGAAAAGATTCTGTGTGTAAGATAACTCTGGGTGTATCCCATTTGCACAAGAGGACAGAAGTTGTGTCATAGAAGCATCTTTGTCTGAGGTAGATGAGTGGTAGCAGCAGTTAAGAGGTCTGGGAGTTACAAGTGCCAGGCTTTGACTGTGGCTTCACTGTGGGCTCTCACTGCCTCACTTCTTCCATCTGCAGATGGGAGTAATGTATTTAGCAATGTTGCAGAGTTTGTTGTATTCTGAGAAGCTAATGCACATAATGCAGTCAGACAGTGGAAAGGCTGGAGAATCATAACTCTAAAGGTTTTCAAACCCCAAACCAATAAACATTAATAAATGTCATGGCGCTTGATGAAGATGCCCAGTGGTGTTATTCCGTTATTGACAGCTCTAAGGAGACCATCATCATCATAATAGAATGATTTGGATTGTAAGTGACCTTAAAAATCATCTAGCACCAACAGCCCTGCCACAGGCAGGGACACCTTCCACTAAACCAGATTGCTCCAAACCCCGTCCAGCCTGGCCTTGAACACTGCCAGGGATGGGGCAGCCACAGCTTCTCTGGGCAACCTGTGCCACTGTCTCGCCACCCTCACTGGAAAGAATTTCTTCCTGACGTCTAATGTAAATCTCCCCTCTGTCAGTTGAAAACCATTTCCCCTTGTCCTGTCACTACATGCCCTTGTAAAAAAATCCCTCTCCAGCTTTCTTGTTGGCCCCTTTAGGCACTGGAAGCTGCTGTAAAGTCTCCCTGGAGCCTTCTCTTGTCCAGACTGAATAACCCCAGCTCTCTCAGCCCGTCTCCATAGGAGAGGTGCTCCCGCGCTTGGATCATCTTCATGGCCTCCTCTGGACTCACTTCAGTGGGGCCACATCCTTCGTACGTTGGGGCCACAGAGCTGGACATAGTACTCCAGGGCAGGTCTCACGAGAGTGGAGTAGAGGGGCAGAGTCACCTCCCTTGACCTGCTGATCACACTGCTGGTGATGCAGCCCCCACTAGAAACTGGGGTAGTTGGTGAAGGCAGTTGAAATGCTAAGGAATCAGCCTGTAAAGCAGACTACAAGATTTAGCAGCGCAGGTCTCATT